AGGGACACTTAGGTTGCTTCCACTTCTTGGCTATGGTTAATAATGCTGCAATGAACATAGGGGTGCATAAGCCTCTTTGGATTGTTGATTTCAGGTTCGTTGGATAGATTCCCAGTAGTGGGATGGCTGGATCATAGGGCATCTCTATTTTTAATTCTTTGAGGAATCTCCATACTGTACCAAACCTTTTTTTTTCAATGAAATAATGTTGAGTTCTCTTTCATGAGTGTTCACCTAACAAAGTGTACACACACTTGAGTGAAAGAGGGCTCCAATTTATATACAGTGTCCATGAGGATTCTGAGTCAAGCATCCAATTGTATCTCAAAGAGTAATACCTTGATTATAACATGGCCTCAGTGCTTGAGACAGTGACCACCACATCGCGTACGTGGTGGACTATTCAAGAATAAAATCCTTGTTACATTATGAGCAAAGCTGTGTGTACATGTAGCTTGACTGCAACAACAGAGGAAGGTGCTTAGCCGCACAGGTGGCATTGTACAAACAGTCCTATAAACGTATTTACAAACGATACTAGAGTTGGAAACTAAAATGGCATTGTGAATACACTTATGGCTGCTATCATTTCCTTCCGCAAAGAGAGCTTTCTGTTCCTTGACATTTATTCACAAAAAGTTTTACATAATCCTTGCTTTTAAGGAATACTTTTTATCTCTTCTTATTCCCCAAGTCACCTGGTTCTCGCTGATCGTAGCATAAACAAAATATACTTTTACAGAATTTTAAATTGCCTCCTAACCACTGAGTTAGGTGTATGTCTAGAAGGATAAGCGAGTTTTCATTTGGGATATATTTGTTTATATATTAGTCAAAAATCAGCCAACAGCTGGAGTACCTGAAATGTTATTGAGCTTTGTACACGTGGAGTGTTTGATACAAATACGACCTTGGAGAATGTGATTATATGCAAATTGACAGCCTCAGAAAGGCTACGTAAGGGTTGTGTTTTAGGGAAACTTGTAAGTTTTGTTCCATAACATTTGCCAGATTTTACTTTCAAAAAATTTCCATAACCTTTGCTTCTCTTCCCCTCTTTCACTGATACAGATCCACATCCAGAGAACTGAAGGATGTGACCATATGACCTGTTCACAGTGTAACACTAATTTTTGTTATCGATGTGGGGAGAGATACCGCCAGCTCCGTTTCTTTGGAGACCACACATCAAACCTCAGTATATTCGGATGCAAATATCGCTACCTCCCAGAGAGACCTCATCTAAGGAGATTAGTGCGAGGGTCGGTCTGTGGTGAGTATCCAACACAACTTACGGGAATCTTCCCTGGGAAGTAAGCAGTGATACTTATGAATGTAGTAGCCGTGATAATTCTGAGCACTTGCCAGGTATTCTGTTAACCCCAAACAGGAAGAAGATATTTTCTCTCCCTTTGAGTTTAAAATGAAAAACTTAAGTTTGTTAGCAGGACACTACTTATAGGAGCAAGCAGATTTTGTTCGAAGAACAAATTATTAATTACGCTGTGGAAATGTGAAGTCTTTAGTCTTATAAATTTCTGAAACCCTATTGTAAGCCACTTGACAAGAGGAACAATGTCACGTTGACTTTTGTGTTGACAGTACCTGTCCGTGGGTCTTGCACATGTCCTCTATTCATTCATGGAGGACATGCAGTACAATAAAAAGAAATCTGTGTGTTTCAAAGCCCCAAAGTAGAGTTCCGTTGTACCTATATAGTTGATGAGTCATTGTATATGTTTCTCTACTGTATTAATAGTTAATAGCTAACAGTTAATGAATAAATACCCTCGTTGCATACAAACTCAAGTTTAAATATCCAATTGCAATGCTCTTATGGATTGACTTTACCTCCCTCTTCAGCCTCAATGACACAAGTCTCATACACAAATATTCAAGCATAAACACAGATTCCTGCTCTGGCCTAATGCCACCACCTTTGTGCAATACAGTGTTCTTCTGATCTAATATTTCTTCTTCCAACGGCTCCCTGCTCCTCTAGAATGTACCCACTGTGAGATTTCGTCCTCTCTTTTTTCATCATGCAGAACTTCATTACTTCTTTCTTTGGCAGTCTTTCTCATATAAATGCAATACTTTTTAAAATCTTCCACGTTTTCCCTGTTTCTACCTACTTTTGCCCAGTTACTTTGTGAAAATCTCTTTACATCTCTCTGCAGCCCTTCATCACTTCATTACTGTTGTAAACCACTCCCCTTTCTAGAATCAAATGATGGCTCATCAGAACAAAGTTGGTGCTAATGATGTATTTCTATCAGGTAAAAGATAGAATATATATTTTAAATTCGCTTTATCATATGGAAGCTAGTGCCATTATTTTCTAAAATCTTGTATGAGCTCTATAAAAATATTTTTACTGAGCTTTAATTAAACAAAATTTTCCACAACCAACAGCATTATTGGATATAGTCAAGAGTAGAATTTAGTCAAGATTGGTTTTAATGATTTTCAATGTTTTTCTGTTTATTTGCTTGTAATGTTATATATTATAATTATGTAACCAATATTTACTTACTAGTTAAATAGACTATGGAGTGTTAGCTAGGGATTCTAACCCCTATTTATAACAGTACTACCAAGAGAAAACTAATCACAAATTAAGTTTTGAGCTGTAATCTATTTGTAAGTCTATAGATGCAGAGAGCAACCTAAAAACACAAAACCCATATATTTTCTGCATTGTTAGTTCTTTTCTTTCCTACTTCAGTGCCATTTTGTGGGAAGATGTTTCCTTCCATTTTTTATTTTAAATAATCTTTGATTTGACCAGTCTTTTTTTTTTTTCTTTTTGTTTTTCTGTTTAGTCATTCTTAAATAAAGAAAGTTAATTTCCTGCCCTATTTGTCCAATAGTGTTTTGGATGCGTTCTCTTTAGGTCCTCTCACTATTTGCCCAGATGCCACTAGAATCCTCTTCCCAGGTCATAAAGTTGAGTTATTTAATACCCTGTAGAATGAACAGCCCATAGACATTGTCAGCAGGGAAATATTCTCTCTGTATAGTCTTTTCGGTTTTTATTTAAAAACTTTTTGATCAGCTGTTTGTAAATGGTTTTCTTTTTGGCCTGTTTTCTGCTGGCTGTGTGTTTATGTGTATGTGTCTGCGCACAGGCATGCGGATGTAACCGTGTCAGGACAAACCTGACAAAGTAAGGAGAATTGGGCTTTGAGATAAGCTCTCCTTCCCGCACATATTTTCCTACCTCCAGCACAGCTGCCTGTAGCTGCTGTTGGGCCATAACTCCAAGGGGAGTGGCCTCTACCTCTCCCATCTGCACAAAAGTCAGGAAAATGGATTACTCTGTAAGTCACAAACTTACCTTCTCCCTTCCACATACGAGAGAACATGGGTTATAGCAGAGCCCTCCTGCCCTCCGTCCTTGTGTGATGGAACCCAGTTTGCTCCTCAGCTTTGGACCACAGCCTCCAGATGTCCTTGGGCAGAGGCAGAGAAAGGGTCTTCTCCTCTCTCAGCTGGATGATGGGAAACATACTCTACATCCCCTGTGACCATGTGCCCGGCTACAGATCAGAGGTTCTGCTCCTAAAGAATAAGGGAGAACAGAGATTTGGGGGTGATTAGCAGCCTCTGACATGAGGGTATCTCTCTGGTAGGGAGTAGGCAGATTATTGAGTCAGTGGGGTTGGGAATAAAAGTGACTGAGGAAAGATTTTATTCCATATAAATATTCAAAATACTAAATTAAAGTATATAATAGTAAAGGAAATATAAGTCTTTAGCTGACTTCTAGATGGCAAATAATTTATATGAACAAAAACAATGGAGTCCCCTCCAAAAATAAATATCCAATTTTTAAAAAGTCAAAGAAGATTGGAACCAGAATTGAAGAAATACAAATAGCCAATAAACATGTCTAAAAATATTCAGTGATGGGCCAGCCCAGCAGCTTAGTTCGGCACACTCTATTTTGGTGGCCGGGGTTTAGTTCCCAGGCGCAGACCTATACCACTCATCAATGGCCATGCTGTGGCAACCCACATACAAAATAGAGGAAGATCATGAATCAATGATAGTAGTAGTCAGAGAAATGTAAGTTAAAGTAAAATGAGATTTTTTTGGACCATTGATTAGTAAATATTTTGTTAATATTCAATGCTGGACTTTCATACGCAGCTGAATGAATTGGAAATTTCATGCAATTCTTTTTTTTTTTTTTATAATTTTTGGAAACATGTTACTCTTTTTTTGTGTGTGTGAGGGAGATCAGCCCTGAGCTAACATCCGTGCTAATCCTCCTCTTTTTGCTGAGGAAGACCGGCTCTGAGCTAACATCCATTGCCAATCCTCCTCCTTTTTTTCTTCCCCAAAGCCCCAGTAGATAGTTGTATATCATAGTTGCACCTCCTTCTAGTTGCTGTATGTGGGACTCGGCCTCAGCGTGGCCGGAGAAGCGGTGCGTCGTGCGCATTTGGATCCGAACCCGGGCCACCAGTTGCGGAGTGCGCACACTTAACCGCTAAGCCACCAGGCTGGCCCTTGTGCAATTCTTTTGCTAAGAAATTTGATAGTAATGTAAAGGACATTTTAAAGCATGATAAATCTAGATAGGCTGACAATGGTTTATTTCCAAGTTATAATTTGAAATAGAAAAAAAAGGAGCAAAAAATTAAGTGTAAGACTATTTAGGGGCCGGCCTGGCGGCCTGGTGGCGCATCAGATGTTAGCTCAGGGCTGATCTCCCTCACAAAAAAAAAAAAAAAAAAAAAAGAATATTTAAATAGGGTATGATATGTGGATATGTTAGAATATTATTTCAGCTATTGAGAATGGTATTTTAAAAGAATTGTTAATGATCTAGAAATAAGAGAGTGTATGCTTAATCCCTCAAGACAGTTTCTAAAGTAGGCTTAAACATGTATTGACCATTGATGGCGTGATTGGCATGAGTTCATTACTTCCCAAAGAGAGAGGGCTTACATCTGGTTATTTGAGTTCTGTGGTGTTTGGAAAAAAAAATCAGTACTGTTACTTTGAGGTCATGTTTCATTGCTGTTATGAAAATCTACTGATAATTATTTACAAAGGAAACACGGATGAACATACTGAGCTACGTATACAGAAAAAAGCAGATTCTTTTAAAATATGCAAGCCAATATATTCTGAACTCTGAAACATAGCTTTAAGAAAGTACGAAGTGCAATTGTTCAATAAGATTTAATATTACTTAGTTGGATTCTGTCATTGGTGAAAAATATAAGTAAAACCCATAGTTAGATATTGTGTTAATTGAGTGGCAATCTTTTTAAGTTAGATATTTAAAACTGTATTTTCTATCTACTTCTTATGGTTCCAAAGACCATTTTTTAAATAATAAAAACGTTAATAATTTTCTGACAAACTTTCAATAAATAGCTGCAATATGTTTCTATTTTTCTATGTAATTGGTTGTTCCAAATTACTGTCCTCAATTTGTGGGATGGTGTTGCTGATTTATTGTTAAACAGCTATGTGATTCTACTACAGAATCCCTCCGTTTCTTCCTCATCTCTTGTTTTTGGGATATGCAGCTGTACTGCCATGTCACATGCCTTGAGACCAAGATTACTACGTAATGACAAGATATTAACTACTAGTGTCTTTTTTTGTGTTAGTGCCTTTCAAAGTTAGTGGGATTCCGATTGTGAACTCTGTGCAATGTTTACGTATGACTAGAGTTTATTATTATCACTGCTCAGATACTTATTTAGGAAAAAAATGCTGGTTGATGCCGTTTGGCATCCTTACCAGCCTTTAGCCTTCTTATAAATGCTTCCTTTTTAAATTTGTTAAAACAATTCACTTGAATAACCTTCAAGATATTATATGTTTATTGCTGATTTTCTCTAGCAATAGTATTGAAACATTCCATTTGTAGTTCAGTCTATTAGCTGTTCCCATTGTTAGTTTTCTTTGGATCTAGAAAGTAAGTAAATTTTTCAGATGTAGGCTTGGGCTGAAGCCCTCTGTAGCACTTACATAATGCTTTTACTTACATAAAATGAGCCCTCTGTAGCTCATTTTATGAGCTAACTAGATTTTGTTCTTCCAACTCAGAGTGTGTCACTGCTTTCTTAATCTTTCAAAATCTTGAAAACTGAAAATGGAAGATATCTAAAGGAAAAGCACAAAGATGAATGTCCTGTGAGCCAGTCGCTTTGGAATTTTTTTGGTTATAAAGGTTATAAATGATTTATGAGATGTTTGACTCATGTGCCCAGGACTTCAGTGAAGTTACTGAACTTACATATGTATATTGGTTCTACACCTGATACATTTCCTTAGAGAAATACAGCCTTAATTATAATCAGACTTCTTAAAAAATAACATACATTATGGTATTAAAAAGCATGGCTGAAGTTGTTTGATAAATGTTTTAAGACTCTGTAATGGTTTTGCCTTTTGTTTTCCAGCTGGAAAATTATTCGTTGCACCTCTAATCCTGGTCTTGGGATTAGCACTAGGGGCCATAGCAGTTGTAATCGGTAAGAAACACTTAACATATCTGAGATGAGGATTCTCTGAGTGCCGTAGAGAGGATATGCATGTAAATGTAATAATGTGAGTCAGTTGTTAAGTAGACTGATTTCTGTTACATGTTTGCTTTAGAGAGGCAATCAGCATATGATTTATAGTTTTGGAGATTCAGCCTGTTTCATATAGGATGTTTTGTGTGGCACTTTTTCAGTCTATGAACACTTTGATTCATGTATCTTGTAAAGCATTACTAACCCTCTTTTAATACCAAGGTTAATGCATCTAGTATTTTAGTGGAAAAGTCCAGTGCGCTAGAACCCAGATTTTCCAATTCTGAGTTCAGATTGGAGCATCAAAGAAAAGAGGCTCTTGTACACCCTTGGGTGTTTGGTTCAGTCTAGTAAAAGGGTCCCCTGGGAAAAAGGTATCTAGAAAAAGATACCTGCAATCTGTATAGGAACGTATACCCAACATGTACTTGAGAACTAACAAATAGAAAATTATCAGTGATTTGTTTGGCTTTAGTCATACAAGTATATTAAAATATGTATTTTAAAGCAGTGGTTCTCAGACTCTAGCATGCTTTAGAATAACCTGGAGGGCTGGTGAAAACACCGGTCGCTGGTTCCTACCCTCAGTTTCTGATTGAGTAGGGGGTGGTGCCCCTGGATTTGTAATTCTAAAAAGTTCCCATGTGATGCTGATGCTTCTGGTCCAGGGACCACACTTTGAGAACCATTACTTTAGAAAATTTTAAATTCAATGCTATAAGTAAAGGCTGCTTTGTCAATTGTTCCACATATGGAATTATTCCATAATTCAAACTGGTGTCATTGAGGTTTTTAAAAGGGGGAGAAAGCTAAAGAAAAACAATAAAGAACGAAATCTTGTAGAAGTAAATACATCTCACAGCGTAGATGTCTTCCCTCTTCATTTTCATGTATTGATAAATAATGATTATTTGTAAAGAGTTTGCAAAATGGAAAATTTTCAAATATACAAACCTAAATGCTTCTTCCCCTAAGGAGCTTTAATCTTTTTTTCTTTATTCTCAGGTTTATTTGTATTTCCTATCTACTGCCTTTGTAAAAAACAGAGAAAACGGTCACGGACAGGTATGCACTGGTAAAATGCAGACGATTTCATCGAGCTAAGCTGGTCCGGGTAGGAGCTATACAGAACGGTATACCCATCTGAGAGTCACATCTTCAGAAACGCTGAGAGGAACCTTCTCCATCTCGTCTCACGTGGTTCTCTGCATGCCACAATGCCTCCAGCTCGGGTGCAGACCCAACATGGTATCCTATCCTTTCCTTATACAGATTGCTGCTTTTAAAAATGGTCACTTTCATAGACTATCAACGTCTGTTTCATGACTCTGACCTTCCTAATGCTTCTTGGAAGAAAATATTTTAATTAAGAACCAGTTAACCTCAGAGTTATCTGAGCATGCCTCTCCTGAGCATTGCTTGGGCTGTCTTTGTACCTGAACCTCCCTCCAGGCCACCTTGTGAGACTGGGTGTGAATAGCTGAAGTCCACCTTTATCAACAAGCAAAGCCACTTTTTCAGAAGATAAAGGCTCATTGTCTACACCTGTTTCCATCTGTGGCCCAAGCAGTACAATTCCTTTATCCTTCAGATGCTATAATTGTTATCAATTTCAATGCCCGAAAGAGAACTTGTGAAACTAAATTAATGAGAAGAATCGTGAGTTACTGAAGTGTGTTTGTGTAGGCGTGTGAATGTGTGTGTATATACATATCTGTATTAAAACTAGGTCCAGTAACCTTGTACTTGTCCAGTTCCATGCCTCTACACTATTTTTCCACATTTTCTTAGACCTGTTTAAAGAAGATCGTTCCTTTGTGGGCATAATTTGGTAATATACTGAATTAAAGTCAATGTAGACAACAGGCTATTTTGATGTTGACCCTTTCTATTTCTTGCTCTTTCTCTCTGTCTCATACACACACAGAAATTTGTGCAATGTCACCACAGGATTATCAAACTTTATAAACTGAGAAACTCATAGGCTGCTTTTAGGAAATTTTTAAGACCTGAACGTTCGGTCCTTTCAGATTTCTTATATTTTGAAATACATACTTCACTACATGAATAAATCCCTCAGGCACGATTAGTTATTTTAAATAAGAAGTCTGATGTAGAAAGAACTGCTTAAGCCTTTAAACAAATCCCTATTCTGCTCATTTCTTAACCAACTTGTAATTATAGATAATTCTGCTCTAGGTCAATGTGTGATATTATTTAATACCCCACCCTCTTACCTCTCCTCTCTCTTTCTCTCTCTTTTTTGTTTGTCCCCAAGTTTTTCATGAAAACAAATACTAGTTTTGAAGGATTTTTCTTATGTTTAATGCTCAAATGCATAATAAGGTGTTGGTATCTTCTTATGGAGAGGTAATTTGAAAACAAAATTTATTGTGTTCATGGGTTTATCCAAAATATAAACTACTTTTTGCAAAAAAAAAAAAAAATGCAGAAAGTATTTTCAGGAGGTTTTACCCAGCTGAGAAGTCTTTAAAAATAAGAAAAGGACCAGTAACTAAACTATGTTATTCCATTGTTTTCATCACGAAAGTTCATCAGCCAAAATGAAATAAAGACCCCTAAGAAGCCTAAAGTTTCCAAATCCTTAAAATTAGCTATCTGCATAGATGTAGCATTTATTTGTCAGCAACCTTGTCTGAATTGGAATAGATCATGTGATAAAACATGCATTAACATGGATAGTTTGTCTTGTTGGACTCCAAAGTATAAGAACATTTATCATTTTTATTTGACCTAAAAAGTCCTTGATGGTGCAGTTGACTTGCATGGATAACAAGCCAGCACACTTCTGTTCTTTCTGAATGACACCCAGAATAGCTGTACTATACCTTCTGGACAAGTCTATTTCCAGTTAGAGAAGAGTATGCCATTTATGGTTCTGGAATGGCATATTTCTAAAGCATAACATGATACAAGAAAAAGTGATGCTCTAGTTTCACAAATTCATCCTTCCATTCATCCATCCATCCATCTGTCCATTCAACAAATATTTATTGAGTGCCTATTCTAAGTGCTTTAGTATTAAAACTGAGAGAATGAGAATTTCTAGCCTAAATCCTATCGTAAAAGTGCTTAATTTTTGCAAGTTCGTCTTTCTCAGACTTAGGTGTTAGTTTGACAATATGTGAATGTGATGAATTCTAAATCTAGTGGATATGTTTATGTAGGATATATATGTGTGTGTGTGTATATATATATACACACACACATATATAATATTTCTATAGATGCATATGAATACATATGTCACATACATATATACCAACTGGCTAAATAATATACTCTCTGGTCTTAGATTATCTATTTTCTTAGGTTATTGTGTCTGTTATCTTTGGCTGACTCAGGGATTTTTATTCGTTTCTTTGAATAACTTATCTTTGGAGATATTTTTACATTATTTGGAAAGGTTCCAATTTTCCAATTACAGAGTGGTGTCTGTGATCAGTGACGGCTGTGTCATCAGTGCTCGAGATGGTGTGTGCTGTGTTGCACAGGCTTTTCATTTTTCTATAGCATAGATTTTTAAAAATTAATGTATGCATTTTTCTCTTTAAAAGTTGGCATATATTAGGCATTTCCCTGTTGGTGACTTAAGAGTAGTTATTTGTGAATTTTTTTTACTAAGTGTCATCAAGATCTTGAAAAGGGAGAAGAAAATAAAAAGGATTGTTTATATGTTAGTGCCAACATTGAAGGTGAAAAGTAGTAACAACTTTGGGGATGAATTCTGAAAACTACTCTAAAGAAAAGAAGCGTGCACATAAAATAAATATCTTTCTATCCAAGGCTTGTCATTTTTTATATGTTTTTATTGTAAATTTAATATATACTCCATTAAAAAACATCAAACCATATAGATTATAAAATACAAATTCCTCTGCGTTCTCCACCCCTTATTTTCTAGGGGTAACCACTGTTCATGGTTTGGTATGTGTCCTTCCAGACACTTTCTACAAATATACAAATAAGTGTGTGTGTATGTGTCTGTGTGTGTATTCGTTTTATACAAATAGAATAATAATATTCTTACTGTCCTGTGATATTTTTCATTTTATTATATACTGATAGACACCTCTCCATAAGAGTTTAAATAGATTTACCTCATTCTTTCGTAAATTACTGCATACTCCATTGTGGGGCTATGCTTTAATTTATTTAATTAGTCCCCTATTGAATGGACATTGGGATTACTTTCACTTCTCTACCACAAAGCATCAATGAAGATCCTTTACATATATTTTTGTCACTTTGTGTGACCATTTCCATAGTTTTTAAATTTGGTTTTATAAGATATTTGTAATAAAATTTTAATACATTTTCAGTGATTGAGATGCTAGAGATAATATATTTGAGACCCTTTTCTTGGAGAAAAAGAAAGATTGTATAGTAGTGCATAATTTTTAAAGAAAAGCATCTTTTGCAGCATAATTTCCCCCCTGCTAGATTAGCCAAATAAATACCTTGCCAAAACTTATCAAAAAACTTCATATTATTCCAATAAAAATGATGCAATGAGATGTCTAGAAGATATGTGAGAAAGATGCATTGATATTTGGATTGCCTAGTTTAAAACTTGAGAGATTTAAATGAAATAGCCAAATTGATAATGTTTGTCACATTTTTTTAAAACACTATCCGTGTTCATGCATGTTGCTGCACAAAGGAATTTACTTATGGCATTGTGAAAAGCAGGAAGCAGTATGTTGGCAAATATGAATGACCACAGTTATCCATAGAAAAATAAATTAGACTATATGTAACGTTTGATGGTTTGTTGGGATGCTTATCAATTGTGGAATAATATGAAACATTTGTTTTACAAATCCCAGAAGTTCTGTAAGAACTTCTGTTTGTGGAGTTAACAAGAGGAGAGGGGTCAAACCTTTCGACACAGGCAACATCCTTTTGCCACCACCTTGGTTTTGTGATGGATGCTATTGGATCCTAGAGGTAGAACAGACAGGAAAACAATCAAAGATGATTAAACACCAGTCAGTTTACAACCTGATATCTTTAATTGTACTCTCTCTGCTGTGGGGTCAGGATTCAGTGGTGCCTGTCAGGAGACTCCCTGTCCTGTTCTACCCACGTGTCTTGAGTCTCCAGGCCCCAGCTGAACCTTTGTCTTTCAGTCCTCTCACCCAAATATATGGCCTGTGGCTCAAACCATTGTTATCTCCTCCAGTCCCTGGGGACTCGCCCAACTTCATTTTGCTCCACTTCTCTGATACTCCATCTAACTCCTCTTCACTAAAAGACAGGAGGGGGTGAAACACTCCCTCTGGCATGTGCAAAGCATCAACATTCCTTCCTGACCTTCGTCAAATTAGAGTACATCTGCCAAGACATCAATCCAGCTTCTCCCTCATTAAACAAATGCAATTGTTTTTAACATTAGACTCTTACGCGACCTGTTAAATTCATAATTATAAAAAAAGTTAGTGGTCTAAATAACATTAATTGGTATACTTCATTAAGTACCAAAATAAAAACATTTCATGCCAAAAGCCATTGTAGATTATAATTTTATAGGCAAACTGCACATATACATTCATGTGAGTCTTCCCGTTAGATTGTGTGCTTATCTTTCATCTTTATGGCTGAAATCTATCCCAACCATTGAAAGTAATTTTTCCTGTGGTCAGTTTCATTGTTTTGTGTTAATGTCTATTATGAATATAGCCTTAAAATTCAATAATGCACTTTAAAATACTTGTGCCATTTAAGTAATTTCACAGAGTTAGACAATGGATACATATACTGCTTTTTGATGGAGACAGCAGAATAACAGTGTTAGCAAATATTTGTCACCTCTTTAAATTTGGGGGTGGATCTGAAGCTTAAAATTTAAAACAAGTAAAACATACCTGAAAAAAAACGTAGCCAAGTTTCTGAAATTATAGTAATCCTAGAAATTGGTATTAGGAGCTCAAACATAGCCAGTAATTAATAAACGTTACCTAATAGCCTAGTTGGAATGTTTGTTTAAAATATCAAGTTAATTTCTACTGCAAGTTTTAACTGCATTTTTATCTTCCATGAAATCTATAAAGGAAATTCCACTGACTAGAAGCATAGTAAATCAAAACTACCACCAATAGCCAGTTTGGGAGTATTTTGTTTTTCAAATCTTTATAATTTAATTATGACGTTTTCCTCCTCCTATGGAAAATAAGTTTGAAAATCCCATTTTTTAATATGTATATCCACAATTATTATTTAAATAAAATGGGAATAATGTTATAGAAGCATTAAGATATGGTCTGAACAAAATCAGAGTTCCAAAAGTTGGGGAGTATTCAAGATTGTGAAATGTTACCTTTTGGATGCAAACCAGTGTTGCAAACCTTTGAAAGAGAAATGCAATGGAACTCTTTTTGTAGCTCTGGTTTTAAGGATGGAACTCAAACTTATGTCATAGCTGACTGTTGTGTGGGGTGTCTATTGTACATCACTGTTGTGAGGCTGGAACGTTAGTTGACTATCGACATCCAAGAAGCAGGGTAGAGACAGTAGTGTAAAACTTGTAACTGTCCATTTGGAGCATTAGCTGAAGCCTTCGTATATCATAAACCTTATAAAGCTCCATACATAGTGCCAATTTTAGAAGCATGTAATTATGCATATTACAAATGATACTCTTTTTTTTGGCTAAAGAAGTGACTGTTTCGAGAATAACAATATGGATTTAAAAGGCAATAAATCATTTTTTTTTAAACATACACAAAAGATTGCCACTGCTTTTTTTTCCTGCTACTTCTTTTTAGCTAATAAAAGAAATTTCATTAGGTGTATTTAATTCTGCATGATTTAGATTATACAGACTTCTTAGCATAGAAGAAAAGTTTT